CTTAGGGCCATATAGAATCCTTTGAAAGGAGTAAGTGGTTGGATCCTTAACTTGGCCGGATGCGTAGTGTTGGGAATTTTAGTATTGACAATTGGAATAATAATTTGTTGTTTTATGCAGCTTGGACCAGTGATGATAACATGTTGTAAGGAATGTATGGTTGGAGGGAAAATGAAAAATGAGAGTGAAAAGGTTGGAATAATGTTGCAACAATTTGAAAAATATGAATGTAAAAATCAATAGAAAGTATGAAAAGAAAAAGAGGGATTTGTGGGAAAAAGAACCTACTGTTTTTACAGAAACTGTAAAAGACATGCTAGCCTGTGAAGAAAATACATTGTATTTCTAATCTTCTGAGCTTGGCTGAAGTTTGGAAACTATATGTAGGAGCTAGGATCAGAGGCCTTGCTATATTAAAAAATGATATTAACCAGAATTTGCTGATATGATAGTTACTCTAGAGACAACCCCTAGAAATTAGTAGACATAAAAAGTAATTTGTAAATAAGGACAGGGAGTGATAGAATTTGAGGAATGGGAGATGTACTTAGAAGTGGGGATAATGTATTCATTTTAGGCGCTTTGGATAGGTTGTGACAGCCTGAGTACTAAGCCAATGAGGAAAAGGTGGGAGGCAAATTTGTGACAGCAATAAGGAATATAAAAAAAGAATATTAATGATTTAAGGTGTGTCCACTGTACTTGCATATATGTGATACACCCTCTTTGCAAAGTAGTTCAAATAAATTACCATTGTTTTCTCTTGGGAGCTTTGGCTGGTAATTGTTTATTCAAAATTAGACAACAAATCCCACATTTAGCATGCTCTGTGATTGTAGCCATTATCTCTAAAAACAAACTCAGATGATAAGGAATAGTAAATATGGAGCTTGTTCGAAGCCACTGAAAAATAAAGAGGAAGTACAGAATGCCATGGGAATCTCTAGTTTTTGACTATAACAGATTGATTATAGTTGTGTCTGTGTTTCACAGATGTGCACACAAAAACTAACAAAGAGAGACAGAGTCCTTTATTTCTGAGAGTTGAGCTCCACTTCTGCTAATTAGTAGTAGTTTTCTCCCATCCAAAGATTAGCATGTCCAATTTTGTAGTCCTAACTGGTGCTATTTTATAATTGACCTGCAGAGGTCGTTTCAAGGCAAGGAATATATATATAATTATATTATACATTTCAATATAATTAATTCAAGCAATTTTATGTTTATGTTTTCTAATTTTTGAAATTCCTAATGTTTGCTCTTTCTGTTTATGTATATAAATATACATCATTTTTTTCTGACAAAAAGGAGCTGATTTCTTTTTTAGAAAGATATTGACATTATCTACATCTCTGGAAAAATAATGATGGATTAGGTTAGAATCAGCTGCTGGCATCTTATAACCATGATGCCTGTTCTCTGGGGTAGGTGATGAAATGAAGTGCCCCTTCAGGTCTTATTAGGAAGAGAGCAAGCCAGTGTTGCCAAGGTAAAGGCAACTGTGCTTCTGGTTGCTAGGAGATGTGGGTCCCATCATGGCAACAGGGTCGAATCCCAGGAAATAACTAATCAAGGGGATCTGAATAACTGATAGGAGGAACACAGTTCAATGGGGCATCTAAACAGTACTGCTGCCTCTTCAATTTGATCTCTAAAGAATGACACTGACTGTCAAGCAATGGCAACAGTTGCCATAGCAACAAACATATTGTTTTAGATGCTCAGCTGTGCAGGACTATAGTGGTACTATGAAAAGGAAAAAGAAAAATGAATACTGGGAGTTTTTAAAATCAGAATTTCCTGGTTCAGAGTTGGAGTCTATTCTGGTATGTAAACATATCTGTGCACATGTTCACAATGGGACACAACCACACACATGCATATTTGTTTTCAGGTTATTGTTATAGGGATTGTGCCATATTTGTAGTAATGCTTTTTTTTTTACAAGTTGAACATTTAACGAACAAGCACAGAATCAATTTCTTTGAGACATTATCAACTATCATCTAGAATTTAGAACATAAGTTGTATACAATATGTCATCATAAATTCCTTGTGATCTGGTATTAACCTCAGCACCTTTTGGTGGAAAAATGTGTCTCTAGCCTATCTCTCTTCTGAAGCCAGAAAGGTGTAGTTTTTTTTGTTTTGTTTTTTGCTTGTGTGGTCAGTTTGTTTAGCATAATGTGGTTCCATCAGTTTTGATTTCTCCATAGTTTATGGATCATTATTTGTTTTGTTCATTCTGATGGTTGCAGTATTAACATATTTAGAAGCAGTAAAGAGAAAAGATCTATCCCATTTAAAGCTTAACTTTTATTAACAGACAAAGAAATGAAGAGGTTCATGCCACAGAGGATGTTAGATTTAAGCATACATCAGCTCTTTTAAGGAGCCATGGAAGGAGCTCCTGAAGACACAAACTGGGCTCTGAGAGTATCTGGCAGACCAAAGACTCCCTTGCTTTTTTTTTTTTTTTAAAGTACTAAATATTCCATCAAAAAGTGTAACTGAAATCTTTGCAGTGTTTCTCCTAGGTAAATGCATTTACTATTACAATGCCATAGCACTTCAGTAGAAGGTAGAATCAAATGACTTAGGAGAAGATACAGAGTTTTTTAGGATTTTAAAAGGGAATAAGTAGCTCTTTCTAAGATTCACTAAAACATTTAGCCATACAACTGCATTTCTACTTCAGAAAATGTCAAAATGTGATCCAGCATATTTCAGTCAGGTCTTCTGTCACGCTTCCTCCAGTGGTGAAATCGAGGATGATAGTAGTTGTAACTGAACAGATCTTGGCTAGAGAGACTATTTTATCCTTTCCACCATCACCACCAACCCCCAGAAACATGAAAAGCTAAGTTGGATTTACAAACATAAGCTGTGATTCTCACTATGCCCCTCTTTCTTATATAATTTTTTAAAAAGAAAGAGTATGAAGAGGACAGAATAGATAATATTTAATCCACCATATCCCTGGTGGTGGATAGGATAATTCTTCCAGATAATCTAATTCTTACTTAGGCCATAAACCTGCATTTATGATATTATACTTCCAATTTGAGGGGGGAGGGTCACATCACCTAATATTCCTCTATAAAAAACAAAATCTCCAACAGAAAGGCTCAAAGAGTCTCCTTGTCATGCTCATTTTTTATATGAAGCATGACAGTTTTAAGATGATCACCCAAGATCATTGTATTGTTTCAATAAAGTTTGCCTCAAATTTAAGATTTAGAGTTGGAAAAAGAATTTTAGACATATTTACCATGCAGAGGATTTACTTCTATTAAGATTTACACAATTGACACATAAAAGGCAATGGGATCAGATTTTTAAACATGTAGGACAACTAAGTTGCCAAGCTCAGAGACTTAATAGCATGTAATGATTGTTTCCCATATTAGCTGTTACTTAGTTTATTTCTATATTATTTTAGGAGCATTTTTCATAAGATAAATCTATTTGCTCATTAAAATATGCAAAACAGTAAAAGACCTGGGACTGGAGATGGTTGTAATACAGGATCTTTCTACTGTGGCTCCATGTATACACAATTCACCAGTAGAACTGAAATTCTGAAGTGTAAGATACTGGAGGAATTCCTGGGCTGAGTTGCATCTGTAACAATTTATGTTTGTATGGGCAAAAAAAAGTCCTGAAGATAACAGGCCACAAAAAGTTTCAAATTCCAAATGTATATTTTGGCTTCAAGACAGTTGCTTTGCATTTGAAACAGACTGCCTAATAATCCTTCTGAGACTGTTTAAACCAGTGGTTCTCAACCTGTGGGTCGGGACCCCATTTGGGGTCGAACGACCATTTCACGGGGGTCGCCAAACAATGCAGTCCGCCATTTTTCCCCCTTTTCTTTGGCCACGCCCCTGGCACCCGGTGATGTATAAGTGGTTGGGGGTCACCACAACATGGGGAACTATATTATGGGGTCGCGGCATTAGAAAGGTTGAGAACCACTGGTTTAAACAGTTTGAAATAACTCTTTAGATTTAAAACATTTCAAAACTGCTTATAACCCCTAATTTCAAACATAAGTAACAGTTTCAAACATGAAGAATTTCAATTCAAAGTAGTTGTATGTATAGAAATAAAGATTATTTACTCGTATATGATTATTTAGAAATAAAGAGTACTAATATTTGTTGATTCTACTAGAGGCATAGTTATCAAAATCAGCTGAAAAGTTGGCCATCTTCTTCTTGTCTCCTTGAAATCTGTTCTACATCAGATTTCAAATTTTGGCTGGGTTCATACAGTATATAAGATAGCAGTTGGATTCTTACTATGCTGTAAGAATCTAATATAGTACATTACTATAAGTACTGTATACAGTACTATAGTATGTATACTATATATTATGCTGAACTACAAAGTCCCCAGTCTCCCTCTAGTCTAGCATGGTGTACCAAAACATTCATTCAGTTCAGCAAGAAGTATTCATGGTCTATAAATGTAGCCCAACAATAGTTATCAGTATGCACATCCCAGGGAGCAGAACAGGAATATAGGAGCAAAGATCAGCAATATCCAGAGGGCTCTAAATTTCCCATTCCTAACAAATTTTATTTAATTTTGAAAATAGTTTTTCTTTTTAAGGAAACGCTTTCTTGATATTTAGTGAAAACTTAAAGCATTTAATATATACAACATTTATGTAGTGCTCTTAGAGCAGGAATTTCAAACTCTGGCCCGCGGGACAGTTTCATCATACTGGAGCCACGCCCACCCCATTGCCAGCAATGGCAAAAAAGCTCCGATACGTCGCGCGACGTCACGTGACGTTGCAAGTTTGACAGGCCTGTCTTAGAGGGTTTACAATAAAATATTTTGTGATATTTTATGGCAACACTAAAAAAGATGAGTTTTATAATGCCCGTATTATTAATTAGGGGCAGAGGCTGAGAAAAGCAGCAATTGCCCAGAGCCAGCTAGAATGTGAAATTAAACTTCAACCTTCTACATCATCATCATATTGACATTGGATCCAGTTAGCTCTCTATTTTACTGTAAAAGCGTCTTTTAAAACTTACTGTGCTCAGAATTTTGTAAAGAACTGGACACATTGTTTACTTGACAGTGAACTGTTTTGAGTGTTTCTGAAAACAAATCCCACATGAATAAGAACTAAATGTAACAAAAATGAGTTGCACTGAGTCTCATGGAAAATATCACAGGGTGATGGAATACTGGCCTGAAAATAGATTCACCTGTAGGATTTTGAACAAGTAGGCTCAGTAAAACAGATTGCCATTATGTTTTCCAAAATTAAGCCACTAGAATCTGTTTTGGGCCTCAGATGAAAAAGGCAATGCTTTTTGTGTGCAGGTGTGTATTGATTTTACCATGGAGCAGTCTTAAGGACAACTACTTTTCTAGAATTATATTCTCACGTCAGAGAAAATAGCAAGCTAGCTATATCTCTCACATCTTTTGTCTTAGAAAGAGCAGCCTGGTACAGTTTAAATGCGGTGGCCTGTCAAAATACATTAGATCCTATGCAGGAGAAAGAGATCGGTGTTTCCTAATGAATTATTCTGTTCTCTCCAGAGTGGGGAAAAAAGAGAGGACAATTTCCCAGATTACCCTCTTCAGCAGATTATCTGTTTTATAACAGTTGTGTTCAGGAACTGAAGACAGAAGTCAACTATAATTGCCAGAAATTTAGAGATCATTCATATGCCCTCACTTGCAACTTTTAACAGAGGAGAAGAGAGAAAAGAAAAAAAGAAAAGAAGGATCAGAAAATAATAGGAAAAATCCTTTGGTTCTTACAGCAGACTTGAAAACATGCGGACATGTGCTAATATAGAATAGACGTAGCAAAGACCTCAGTACTGAAGTTTTTGAGAAAAGGAAATAACAAACTCAAGAAATAAATTTGAACAACAACAAAAAAATTACCAGTTGATCTTTATTTAAATCCACTTGGAGAAGTAATTTTACCCTGAAGTGACTTGAGGCTTCAGACAGTGAATTTGAGGTCCCATTCAGGGTGGTGGTGAGGGTATTAATGATTCATAGAATGTAATCCATTGGAAATTCTTCCATTCAAATCTCATCAGAATGAATGTTCACTGCTCTAGTATTCTTGTTGTCATCTCACATTAAGTGAGTATATATATATATATGTATATTTGTGCCCATTGCCCATTGACCACTGATATTAGATTGAAGGGTCTGAGGAAAATAGAGTATGACTCTTCTGAATCTGACAACACATTCATAATATTACTGTTTTTAAAAATGTATCTACAAGATTTATGAATCAATGGTTATATAACTGTTATTTATAAGTACCTTGAAAATCAAAATATTTTAGCTGTCAGCGATATATAATTTTTCAAAAGAATAACTTTTAAAAACAAATACGGTAGTTATAACAATATATGCATTTTAAAAAACAGGAAGTTTGGTGCTGATGACTGTGAAATCCTATGCACCAAATACCCTCAAGGAAGAAGTTGTGGCAAAAGGCTTCTTGGCATCAGTGAAAGCTCTCCGGACTAGAGCGGAAATAAAAGTTTGTTGGTGGACAGCCCTGTTCTGAACAGGTGGGGAAGGAATTCTGGGGGGAAAGAGAGGTGACAGGACAAAATATGGGTGAGTTAGAATGAGAAGTCATATTAATTGTATGTCCAGAGTGAGGATCACCATGTTCCTTATCAGCCCGAGGTTGATCTGTGGGACCTACAGACTCACAAGAGGTGGATCCCCTCATCTCCTGGGGTTCAAAGAGTTCCATGTCCTGGGAGGGAGTGGAAGGCAGAGAGCTGGTGAAGGCAGAAAAATCCAAGCTAGAAGATGCTGGAAGGCTGGGGAGCATAGGCAAGGAAGAAGCCAGAAGGCTATGAGGTGGCAGGGAAACTGAGGTTCGAGAAGAAGGCAACTTGCTTACAGGAGACAAGGAAGGCGAGGTCTGCTCACCGCTATGAAGACAGACTGAGGTAGGATTGGAGGAAGACTGAGTGGCAAGCTGGCCCTGAAGAAGATTCATGAGATGCTGTAACTCTTGGCTGAGTTGGGAAACTTCCCGATTCAGGTTGTTTATCTGTAGGGAGGCAAGAAAAATAAACAGAAAAACAACTCAGTATGTAGAATTCTGGTACTGAATTTTATTCCTGAAACACTTTTATTAGTCATTTATTCTAATTAGATTCTATTTTTAATACAGTATCCTGGTATCCATAATTATTGTAATTGTACTGCAACAAATGACACATGCACTCCTATTAATCTTAGAAATGTTTCAGATCTTGAGGAATTTTACTGTACTTCTAGATAGTCTCCAAGCTTTTGTTTCTATGTTGTGGCTTTCTGTGCTTTGTTTTTTATTCTTTTATGATGTTGATAATTTAATTTGATAGCTAGTGACAGTAATAAAGATAATCATCTATAGATATTTGTTTTTTGTCATCCAAACTTTTTTTTAAAAAAAAACTTCAGTGGGAGGCAGATTTGATCACTTGTCTTTCTTTCTTTCCTTTTGTGATCAAACCCACCCCAGACAGTATCCTTATCCATTTTAGCCAAAGTTCCCATTTTGAAATAAAAATATAATGGTTAATTGATTATACAGTAAAGACAAATGCCTCTGAGTATGTATCAAGGACCCTTTCCATACTAATCCAATCATTCAGTTAATTTCTCTTCAGAGTGGGAGAGTTTCTTCCAAAACTAATGACAGGTTACCCATACATAACTGTTCAAAAATTAAATGCTGCTGTTGTTTGATGATATTTGAAGATGGCAGCCTGATCAATTGAGAGGGACAAACTTTAAATAATAGCCAATGATATTAAAGCCTTCGATCTAATCAATTCATACAACCCCTCTCACATTTAGGGATGCTGAATGCATAAAAAAGGGGTCATTTTGCCTCTTGCACCCAGCTATCCTCTGCAATAGTCTCAGCATAAGAAATAGGGAAGACAATCAACTGAGAAAAAGAAATGGAGTTATCATTGGAAGCAACCAGCACCAATGATAATCTTCATGTTCAAAGTCCAGTAAAGGACTCACACAGTAAATCAGTCACATTTTAAAGTTATGTGATTATTGAAATCTAGACTTGGATTTCTATTTATGTCATCCTCTGTTCTGGTGTCTATAAGGCAATTATGAACAAAAGGACCCCATAAAGGAACCCTAGAAAGTGAGGCCTGGTGGAGATGTGGAGATCCCTTGATAATCTGAGTTTTTCCATAGAATGCAGAACACAAAGGCAACTTAGAAAAATGATAGGAGAAAAAAAGGAATGGGCAGGCTCTGTTGCTAGGTAATTGTCACCAAATTTAAATTTTAAATTAAATTTTAATTTAAACTCTTACACCCACAGTCAAAAATGCCAACACAGGGGCTGTCTATGCAATTTACACTCTCATCTTTCTTCATCCTGCCAGGGCAGAAAAAAAATACAACTGATAAAAAAAAACCAAGGAGTTGGACACAAGGAGTAATCTTTGGGGAGCATTTATTTTTTCCACAGCTTCAGGCATCAAGTGAGTGGGAAGGAGGAGGAAGGACTCAAGAGCAAGGCCAGTCTTGCCATTAGAAAAAAGAGGCAACAGTCTCAGGTGGCAGATGTCAAAAAGCAGCAGTACCAAAAATTGCTTTTTTTGCTTAGTTTATTGGTTATCTATCTCTGTTGGAGCACTGATCTATCTGCATCTTAAACTTAAGCAAGGAAAATGGTAAGACAAATCTTATACACTCTAGATGAGTACAAATTACCAGGACCAAATAGATCATATTCCAGAATTCTGAAGGTGCTGGTAGACACGATCTCAGAACTACTGAACCAAATCTGTTAAAGATCCTGGAGCACCAGAGAACTACCAAAGGACTGGAACAGAGGTGGCATGGTTTTAATCTTCAAAAGGGGGGGGGGACTAGATCCAGGAAATTATATACCAATCAGCCTGACATCTATACTTGGGAAGATCCTGGAAAAGATAATCAAGCAATGAACCTGCAAACACCTAGAAACAAGCAAAACTATTACTAGAAGCCAACATAGTTTGTCAAAAACAGATCATGCAAGAAAACATTATTGCATTCTTTGACAAATTACTGGAACAACAAAATGCTGTGGGCATAATGCACTTGGACTTAAATACTGCATTTAACAATGTGGACCACAACCTTGGTAAGATAAAAATACGTGGGATAGACAGCATCACCATCAGATAGATTCATACCTGGGTCACTAACAACACTCAATGTATAGTCCTCAATGGAACTACATCTACATGGAGGGAAGCATGCAACGAAATACCCAAGGTTCTGTCATAGCTCCAGTAACCTTCAACATCTTCATAAACATTTTAGAGGAAGGGACAGACATTTGTAGATCATACCAAGCTGGAGGGAAGAGCTAACCCTTTAGAAGATAGGCTCAAGATCCAGAAGATCTTGACAATCTTGAACACTGGATCCTATCTAACAAAATGTAATTCAGTGGTGAGAAAAGTAAGATTTTACACTTAGTCAAGAAAAACCAAATGCCTAGGTATAGAAGAGGTAATACTTAGCTCAACAGCAGGAACTGTGAGAGGGATCTAGATGTCCTAGTGGTAAACTACTTAAGTATGAGCCAGGAGTGTGCTGCAGCTGCTAAAAAAGCCAATGTGGTTCTAGGCTACATCAACAGAGGGATAGTATTAAGATCACATGAAGTGTTTATACTGCTTTGGTAAGACCACATTTGGAATACTGTATCCAGTTTTGGTTAGCATGATACAAAAAAGGATTTTGAGACCCTAGAAAGTGTGCATAAAAGAACAACAAAGATGATTAGAGGTCTGGAGGCTAAAACATATGATGAATGGTTGCAGGAATTGGTTATGTCTACTTTAACAAAGAGAAGGACTAGAAGTGATAGTAGTTTTCTAATATTTAAAGGCTGTCATAGAGAAGAGGGGGTCAACCTATTCTCCAAAACACCTGAGGGCAGGACAAGAAGTAATAGATGAAAACTTATCAAGGAGAAATCTAACCTAGAACTAAGGAGAAATTTCCTGACAGTAAGAACAATTAATCAGTGGAATGACATGTCTCCAGATGTTGTGGGTGCTATATCACTGGAGATTTTAAAGAAGAGATTGGATAGTCATTTTTCTGAAGTGCTATAGGGTCTCCTGCCTGAATAGGAGGTTGGGCTAGAAGACCTCCAAAGTTCATCTCCAAATCTGTTATTCTATTACTCTTTGCTTGCCTTTCTATATTCAACTGACCTACTGTATTCTAGTTGATAGAACTTGCTCTCCTATCATCAGTACTAAACTAATATTCAACTGGCAATTCAGTTAACTTCTGTAATGTGATATATATATATATATATATATATATATATATATATATATATATATATATATATATATATATATATATATATATATATATATATATATATATAAAATTCCTCAGATTGTAAGGTAAATGCACTTTGCACATATTCAGAAGTATTTTCATTTCACATATAATTTTATACTTTTTACAGCAAAGTTCTGATATAATAAATAGATTTTAGAATGGAGCCTTATTGACTCTGTCCACAAATTAAGACTTGTGTCTTACCTCTTGATTCAGCTTTCTGATGTTCTGCTTTACCTCATCAGTTTCTGTAGCTAACACAAGATTGGTTGGTCCTGTCCCTGTGAGAAAATCCAAAGGAATGAGGGATGTAATTGTAAATTTTCACAGGTTGGTTTCTAACCTATCTCTAATATTAAATTCATACTATTTATGTATTGCTAAAAAAGAAATATGTAACCTAAACAAGAAAACCAAAAGATGAGGGTCAGATATCATTTATACTAAAATACAACATATCTCCCATTGCTTTATGTCTCACATAATGCAAAATACTGTGCCCCAGTGACCAAAGTGTCTGCTGACTACCAATAGACAACTTGAAGTCTCTTCCTGCTTTTCTTTTGGGCTTGAACTGGACATATTTCAAGCAGGTCAGCTTTGAACAAAGAACTAAAAGTAGATCCCTGGATTTCCTTCCTTATACTATAATGGATGTCTAAGCATAGTTCGTATATTGTTATATGTTATGTTATGTTTTATGCTGTGTTGTATATATAACTAATTCTTTTTAAATAAAAAAAAATGCCCCAAGAAAATATAATGCTTACAAAGAAGATAAGCCTGTTTTTTTTTTTGGGGGGGGGAATGGCATCATGTCAGCTTTGGAGGGAATTTAGAGGAATATACAAATCTAAATCTCTATGCAGGGAAGAGGAGGAGAATGTTACAGAACTAGTTTCATTTCTGATGAAAAATTGATATTTGGGTGGAACATAGAAGAGCTTTCAGTTACGTGAGCCTCCTCCAGCAGCAAAAAACTGGTACAGACTAGACAGAACATCAAACATTTGCAAAGAAAAGTTGAATTTCACAATCCATCTATATATTTTTCTATATATTTTATAAGTTGTTGCACAAAGTAATCTTACAGGGGAAATGGGCGGCATAAAAATTTGATAAACAAATACATACTATAAAAATGTCAAGCAAGCAAGTCAAATTGCATACCTTGCTTTCACTTTTTTAATGAAGAAGAGTCAAAATCATGCTTGCACTCTTAGCAGCAGAAGACCAATATATTTAGAGAGCACCAGTTAGGGGAAAGCAAATTTAGCTTATAATGAAGTACTGTTATTTATATTCCCCATTTCTTCTGGTAGGAAATGATAGGTTAACTTGGCATTATATTCTATATTGTAGAAGGTAACCTTCTGCCTGATGACTTCTTCTGTTTCAAAGACAATTTAATCTAAATCCCATTTAAAGATAAAGAACCTAGAAAGAGAAACTAGGGCTGTTGAAGATGCTCATCAATATTGAAGACCTAAAGCATATGCTGAATATAGACTCATAGAACACACATTCATAGTTTTCCTTATTATGCACAGTAGTTCAGTTTAAAATTTTTATCATTTCAATTTGGTATATTATTTGGTATATCCATGTATTTATTTTGCAATTTTTGGGGACTGACTAGAGGTATAAAGAATTCAATTATGCTAGTCAAGAGTTCAGCAGCACTAGTCTGCAAAATAAAGAATATAAATAATTTATCCTTGTACAGGTACACTAGAAAATTGTGAAACAGACTCCCGACTATTTTATTAGCTATCTTCAAGCCATTGCTCTCCAACCCCATCTTGAACATATGAGATAATTCTTATCAATTAGCACTATCCATCAATGCTCATTTAAACATAAAATCTGCCAGTGCCATTCAGCCATTGAAAAGACATTGCTCAAGCTTCTTGTGTTCCAACTGACATCTAGTGCTAGAAACATCAATAGTCTATTAGTGCCAATTAGCAAGCAGGCTATATAACAGATACGTCATCTGACAACATTGCCCATTGCAATTTTGGTTATTATTTTTCTATTTAATTTAACAACAATAATTGAGAAAGCCAAAACAAAATCATCCATTAAAACCTTTTCTCACCAAAATATACAACAGGATAATATGAGATTTTTCCTGGTCTGCTATTTAAATCAAAACAGTTCATTCCAGAGCCTGGAATTTGACATAGCTTTCACAAAGCAACTGACAGGAAGGCAAGATTGAACAACCAGGGCAATATTCAAATTATATGGAAGAACATAGGACTTTCCTAAATAGAGGCCTTTTCTCAAAGTTTTCTCAAAATTCACAAATATACACACTCTACTCTGAGGATTCTTTAGGACAGCACAAACAATCAGAAAATGTTTCCCTAATGAGAAACCATAATCACAAGGAGATAGTAAAATATATTAATATACTATAAAATATTATGCAAATAATAAACTCTTTTACATTTATTTCTTAAAATATATAATTTCATCAACCAGATGCCCTTTGATAGATCTGATAGATCAGATGATGCTGATTAAAAGGCTTTGGAGCTTAAATAAAAGTAAACATGGAAATAGAAGTATTATTTTTCTATGAGACCTGTCATAAAGAGTTACTGACCAGTATCAGTGAGTTCCATACATACAAAAGGAAGAGAAAGAGAACTATTTTTGGCTATTGCCATCTACAGTGACTAGAATGATTGAAGTCTAATTAATGGGTAAACATTGATGGAGGTTTGTGGCTATGTAATAGAGAATTGGATTATGTGATTTTTTTTATAAATTTATTTTCTACATGAATAGTTCATTTATAATCATCATTAATGAAAGCTATTTGACAAAAATAGTTCTCCAATTCACATTTTATATAAGATCCAAAAGGTTTTTGTTATGTCCCGAGCCTTGCAAATGGGCTCGGGGCATTTGCAGGCAGTCCCGGGCAGGTGCAAGCTACCCGGGACCAGACAGGCTGTCGCCAGCGCCTGTGCGCATGCGCGGGTGCTGGCGCGGGAAAAGTAACACATTGACCTGGGAATTGCCTATATAAGAGGCTGGGAGGTTTTGGGCATTGCTGAAGCCTTCACCTGTAAGCTGAACACAGAATAAAAGAAAACCTGAGAACTACAACTGCTTCTCGCGTCTGCTTTTCGCCAAGGACTCAACACTGGCGACGAGGATGGGATGCCTTACATCGCCTGGAAAGGAAGAGGTGTAAGCTTACCCAAGTGAGTCCTGAGCAGCGGAACGGCATTGACTCGGCACCTACCCGCCAATCCAGTGCGCATTCGGGGGTAGGCTGGCTGATAGACCCGTCTCCTGAAAATGGCAAAAGTCGGAAGGCTTTCGGAATTCGACGTCTCACATCCAGAGCGGTGGGAGTCCTACATAGCCAGGGTGGAAAATTACCTCAAGGTAAACCAAGTGAGGGAAGATAGCTTGAAGGCTGCCACCCTGCTTTGTGTCTGCGGTCAAGACGCCTTCGAAATCGCAGAGACCCTTGCAGCACCTGTCCCATTAGAGTCTGTCAGCTACGCAGATCTAAAGAAGCTATTGAAGGAGCACTTCCAGCCCAAAATGTCCGTCATCGCATGGCGCCACACCTTCGAGCAGAGGGATCAACGATCCGGAGAGTCGGCCAAAGAATACATCGCCGCATTGAGGAAGGCCGCCAAGCACTGTGAGTTCAAGGACCTCGAAGAACGACTGAGGGACCGATTCGTGTGCGGTTTAAGGCATCAAGATCTACAACAGAGGCTTTTCGCCAAAGAAGACTTGTCCTTCCAAGATGCCTTAAGAGAGGTCACCGCAGAAGAAGCAGCAGGCGGCGCCGTCAAAAACATGCGGCCGATCAGGAACAGTCCAGATGTTGCATCCGTGCACCAAGAGGACGTCCAAGGGAACTCCGAGGAGGATCCGGACGAGGAAGTCGACCGTCTCCACCCCACGAAGGACGGGACTCAGAAAGGAAGCTCTGCAGTTCCCCTCAAGTGCATCGGCTGTGGAGGTCGCCACAGGAGAACCGACTGCAAGTTCCGCTCCGCTATCTGCCGGGCGTGTGGGAAACAAGGACATATTGCAGCTGTGTGTCTGGGCCGACGAAAGGTACAACCTCAGGAAGAACTGCGCCTGAAAGGTACCAGGGTCCCCAGCCAGAATACGGTAGGTTTTTGCGCTTCGCGAAGAAGCATCTTCAGGACAGGCACACAAAAGCCCATCAAGAAAAAGCTGTCACTCAAGGTGAAGCTACAAGGGGTTCCATTAACTATGGAACTAGACACGGGATCTGCCCTTTCAATCATATCCTTACATACATTTAGGAAGATTTGTTCCGGCAGTGGAACTCAGGCTAAATTAAGGCCTTCTGACATTGTGTTAACAGATTTTCAAAATTCGAGAGTGTGTGTTAAGGGGGAGGCCACCCTTAACGTACAGTATAAGAATTTTGAAGGTCCACTAGACATATTAGTAGTAGGGGGTGAACGAACGAGTCTCATAGGACTCGATTGTTTTGAAGCCTTGGGGATACACGTCACGGGGCTCAACAGCTTACAAACACTCGACCTACAGGAAGTCTGCAAAGAATTTGCAGATGTCTTCAGCCCCCAGCTGTGCACATTCAAGGGACCCCCTGTGTCCTTAAAACTAGACCCCACTGTCACTCCCATTAGAATTAAAGCAAGAAGGGTCCCTTTTGCTTTAAAGAGTAAAATTGACACTGAATTAGACAAACTGATCCAACAGGGAATTCTAGAACCTGTTGATTCCAGCCCTTGGGAGACCCCCATTGTCATGCCTCTAAAGGCAAATGGGGACATTCGCATTTGTGCTGACTACAAATGCACTCTTAATAAGGCATTGCAGCAACATGCCTATCCTGGTCCTGTGGTCAGTCATATTCTGGCCTCCCTCAAGGGGGGGGCGCGTTTTTGCAAAGCTTGACCTAGCTCAAGCGTATCAACAGCTGCCTGTTGATGATGATGCTGCTATAGCTCAGACTATTGTGACCCACAGGGGAGCCTTTAAGGTAAAAAGGCTACAGTTTGGAGTGAATGTCGCTCCTGGGATTTTTCAAAGCGTAATGGAAAACACACTACGGGGCATACCGGGGGTTTGCCCTACTTTGATGATGTCTTAATTGCAGGAGACTCCACACACATTCTAGCTGAAAGGCTAAGGGCTGTTCTGTTAAGGTTCAGGAAAACAGGCCTCAAGCTCAAAAAAGACAAATGCAAAATTGGGGTGCCTTCTCCTGAATTTCTGGGGTTCAAAATTGATGCTGCTGGGA